GTCCCCGACACACGTTGACGTCACTGCCATGACAACCGAGCCCCGCCCCCTCCAACTCTCGCGCTCGCACGCCCGGCGCGAGGGAGGGGGGGACCCGGCCGGGAGCAGCCAATCAGCGAGCGGAACGGCGCGGCGCCGTTGGGGGGGCGGTGACGCGCGGTGGCCCCGCCCCCTCCCCCCAGTGCGCCGGGTCCGCGCTGCCGCCGGGCTGGCGCAGACGTGCCGTGGGGAGGGGGGCGCGCGTGCACGTGGCCGTCAGTCGTCCTGAGACGGGCAGAGATCGTGAAAGATCCCCCCCACATTGTAGAAAAGTCAGCGAGCGGAACGGCGCGGCGCCGTTGGGGGGGCGGTGACGCGCGGTGGCCCCGCCCCCTCCCCCCAGTGCGCCGGGTCCGCGCTGCCGCCGGGCTGGCGCAGACGTGCCGTGGGGAGGGGGGCGCGCGTGCACGTGGCCGTCAGTCGTCCTGAGACGGGCAGAGATCGTGAAAGATCCCCCCCACATTGTAGAAAAGCTTCGGGTTCCCCAGAGGAGACGAGCTCGGCCCCGGCAGCACGAGTCGGGGCTGCTCTTTGGCAATTAGAAAAACACGTTGCGGGAGGGTTTTATTACCTTCGGGTCTGTTGGCTGCAAAAGCCGGAGTCGTTTCTGTCCGTGTCTGCGAGCCCGGTAGCAAACCGGTTGCCCTGACACCGTTGTACACGGCGCTCGGGATCTCGCACGACTCCTAGACATGGCCCATCCCTTGGGACGGGAACCCACGCCCGCGCACAACAGCTGTGGGCATCTGTTCGGGGCTCTGGCGGCGGAGCCAGGCGCAGGCGACCAGCCCGGGGCTGCGAGTCCCACTGCCCCGCGCAACAACGCGCCCCATTGCTGAAGAGTGGGCACGTCCCGAATCGGGCTCCTCGGTCACCGGAGGTCCTGTCCAGCCTGACCCACGTCGTCCTCCACTCCCAGGGGCTGCCGGAAATTAGAGTGGGGGGAGAAAAGTATCCACATTTGGATCTCAATAAGTAATGATGATCCTCTTTGACTAGACTCGGGACCGAACAGGTGCCCACAGCTCTTCTGGCTGGACGTCCACTTTCCATCCCAGAGGCTAAAAGATGCTGCCCGGTGTGTGCAGGAGTTGTGGAAGATCCCATCCGCTGTGTAGCACACCGGTCTTCACGTAATGATTTAAGGAGAACCTGTTTATTACCGTACTTGCAGAGACTGATGCGCCTCTCAAACACAGAGAAATGAATCCTGCTTTTACAGCAAACGGATCCAAATGTTATAAACCGTCTCGCAATTTTCACTTATGAGGCTGAGGCGATTAGAGTTAGATATCCTTTATTACTGATTAACGTTAGACTTGATTTGATTGTCTCAATTGTGGATCGTGTCTTGATTTACTACTACATTTATATTAATAATGTTTTTATGTTGGTGGGGTCTATCTTTACAAGTATAATACTTGTAGTTTGATTACTTTGTTCAAACTTATTTATATTACGGGTGTTGTGTGTGTTATGTCGTCTTCGGGAGCATGACATTTAGCCAGAATCCTTAATAGAATTGATTCAACATTTAATGAATGCCGTATCGGGTATCTCCTGGGTGACGCTCAGCCTCTCCTGGAGATTTATATCTAATTTCTGAGACTCCAGGACAATCCTGGGGGGTTGGCAACACTGCTGAGAGCAGGTGCTCGAAGGGAGAGTGAACAGGGTTTTTTCCCGATCCTTTTCTCTTGTAGCCTCCTGTATCTAAGGCCCAGGAAGTTCGGATTCAGAGGCCGTGCCCCTCGCTCCTGTGCTAGACAACAACCGATGCCCCTCTCCTCCGAGCACACGGCCAATTTCTGTTTGAATCCGGCTATGCTGGCAGTGTCCACCACATCTGGTGGAAACAAGCTCCACCTGTTACTGACCAAGGACCTCCTTGCATTTGTTTTAAACTTCCCGCCTGCTCGTTTCGTGTTGTGACCCCTAGTTCTTCTCTTGCGAGACGGGGGAGATAATTACTTCACTCTAGCAAGTGAGTGAAGTAATGATCAGAGGTCAGGGAAGCAGACCCTACGATGACAGGCTGAGAGCCCTGGGGCTCTTTAGCCTGGAAAAGCGCAGGCTCAGGGGTGATCTGATGGCCACCTACAAGTTTATCAGGGGTGACCACCAGCATCTGGGGGAACGTTTGTTCACCAGAGCGCCCCAAGGGATGACGAGGTCGAATGGTCACAAACTACTTCAAGATCGTTTCAGGCTGGACATAAGGAAGAACTTCTTTACTGTCCGAGCCCCCAAGGTCTGGAACAGCCTGCCACCGGAGGTGGTTCAAGCGCCTTCATTGCACACCTTCAAGATGAAACTGGATGCTTATCTTGCTGGGATCCTATGACCCCAGCTGACTTCCTGCCCTTTGGCCGGGGGGCTGGAGTCGATGATCTTCCGAGGTCCCTTCCAGCCCTGATGTCTATGAAAATCTATGAAAGTCCAAGTCCACGGTGTTGTGATAATTTATAAGCCAAGTACAAAGATACTTTCTGGAGCGCAAGCAGGATTCCTCATGAATTTCTCGTCACCATTTAGCAGTTTGTAAACCCTTATCACACCCCCCTCGAGCTGTATTAAAATCTGTCCTCTGTTGGTATCTGAGGTAGCCCAGCCATGAGCTCTGGAACAAGCGAGGCACGAGCATTGAGCTGAACTGCTGCTGGCCATTTAGTAGTAGGGGTTAGGAGGTGGAAGGAGCAACAGCGGCTCCTCCCCGCACTGTTAGGTAGTGTGTCCTTTCTCCCTGTGCAGAGGACAGTAGCCAGGGAGCAGACTTTAAGGAACATAAGAATTGCCATGCACTGAGTCATACCATCTTGCCCAGGCACCCATGTCACGCTGCAGCCTGCGCAGACTCAACCATGTCTAGCCACAGCAAAGCGGGCATGGCGCTGGAGAAAGGAGGTGCCAGGTGCCACCACAAAGTTCTCCGTGATAACATCCAAGGCTTCATCAACCCATCCATCTGCCACCTGGCTCGCCATGGCAGCATGAAGCACATCTCCAGCCTCATCTATAAGGAGACACACGAGGTGCTGAAGGGCTTTCTGGAGAACATGATCCGTGACACCGTCACCTACACCGAGCATGCCAAGCGCAAGACTGTGACCCCCATGGATGTGGTCTACGCGTTGAAGTACCAGGGCCGCAGCTTGATTCAGTGGCTAAACTTTCAGTATCAAATCCTCTTGTATCGCACAATGGCAGAGAGTAGATGCTGAAAGGGAGAGTGAACTGGGCTTGACCAGTGCTTTTCCCTCCATTGTTCCTCTCTCCCTTGCAACTCCCAGCATTTAAGGTCTATGAAGTTCTAGTTCATAGGTGGTGCCCCTCATTCCCTACCTTTACACTGGGAGTTAGTCCTCCTCATCTCATACGCACTACTTCCATAGTCCGGCCAGCTCCTGATGTCTTGCTGTTCTTTCCTTTAGCCACCAGTGCTCTCCCCAACCCCTCATTACTTCAAAACTCCCTCGCAGCTCCACTCCCTGTCATATATGATGTCATACAAATCTTGATAACTACATTCACCATGTGTGTGGGTGCGTATGTAGCCATGTGTGCAGCACATAGATCTTGACGTTTACTATTTAGCATTTACTCTGCCTTGTGCTCTAAACACCCTACAGACTGTACGTGTACTTTGCAGATTCTGCGCATAGCATTCTATGCAGAAGGGGACGCCTGGCATGTATCGTCTATCACACAACCTGCATTAATTCTCCTTACACTGCAAATACAACATACATTCACAAACTACCTGCACCATACATGCTCCATACACACTACTACACGTTGCATTTCATTCATAAAATCATAGGGTAGTAGGGCTGGAAGCATAGGCAGTGGAAGACAGGCTAACACGGCTTACCCTGCCAAACTGAGCTGGCAGCAGTGGCTCCAATGCCACTGCTGCAGCAGTGCTGCACCCAGTGCCCCCACTGTGCACTCCACTGCTGCATGCACAGCACCAGCGCATGCCCACTCCAAAACAGCCCTACTGGAGGGAAGGGCGGGGTCTGGTGGGCTCACTCTGCATTGCCCAACCCTCCAAATGATATTTTCTAGTGCCGCTTATTGTTGGAAGAAACCTCCAGAGTCCAAGCCCATGCCTGAGGCAGGATCATCCCTATCCAAACCATCCTATGCAATCCATCATCTAAATTCTACATAAGACTACCGTCAACCCTGACAAAACACAGACAGGCCTAACACTAACTTGCCACAAGTAAAGCAGGGGAACCATGGCAGCCAGCACTGCTTCTATGAAACATTGGCAATATACATTCAAGAAGGTCATGCCCCCTGTTACAGAGAAAGGCAAAAACCCCCATAGTCCATACCAATCTGACCATGGGGTAAAATTCCTTCCTGACCCCAAATATGGGAATTGGTCTGTCCCTGAGCAGAGGGGAAAAACCCTCTAGCCAGGAGCCTCTGGCTTTGTATGTACCATAAATCATACATGCCCCATACATCTTGAATATCCAGTGAGCCACATATCTGTTATACATCATAGCTCCAAAGAGGAGCTTAAAGTGAAAGAACTTTCAGAGAATTTTGAGTAAGATTTTAAACGTCTCATTGAGACATGTGCGGCAAGCACTCTATCTAAATATACTGAAAAAAATAGGTGTAGTTTCTTGTCCTTTAAACCCGATGCCTGGAAGGGTTGCATGCTTCCAGGAAGCTCTAAACACCATACTTGGGCCTTACTGTACAAAGGTTGAGGACTTAAAGTGTGCAGGACTTGCACCATGGTGCAATGATATCTCCAACTCAAGTCTTGTCCCCTACAGCTACAAACAAAGCCCATCTCCATCCTCTCTATAATCACCCTTAAGGTATTGAAGACTGTTATCAGATCCCCCCCTCAGGTTTCTCTTCCCCAGACCAAATAACACTAATTCTTCCTTCTTGGCCTCTTGTGGACTCAGATCAAGCATAGTCGATGCTTGCCTGGCAAGGGAATCACTGTGACCATGGAGGCGGTCTTCCTAGCTGCACCGGGGAAGGCCGCTCTCCTGGCACAGGGATAGTACCTGCCAAGGCAATGTATAGTGAACTTCACACTTAGCTGCTGGAGTGGGAAGGTCTTGGCTTTAAGCCCACTTTATGGAAATGGGAGACTCCTCCCTGGCTTGCCCCGGAGCCTTATGGCTGAGGGCAAGGAAAACTCAGGGGCATCTGACTCCCAAGCCTCCGGGCTTGGGCCTGCAAGTAGGATGCCTACCAAAGCTTTTGGGAACATCTGAAGCCCCAGATGGGGGTGGAGGATGTTTGCTGGTAGTAGGGCCACTTATCGTTCTGGACTATTGGATTTGGAATTCGTTTTGGCTAATTTGGCCTGGGATACATTAACTTAAAAAAAAAATGTCTTGTCGCCCAGGCCTGTAATAATTGTTTGTATTGCCTTACATTGGACTTCTTCCAAACGCTCCACATCTTTCTCGAAGTGGGGGGTCCAAAACTAGACACGGTACTTCAGATGAGGCCTCACCAGTGCTGAACAGAGAAGAAGAATCACTTCCCTTGATTTGCAAGTGACACTCCTGTTAGTACAACCCAGGATGTTGTTGACTTTTTTGCGAACAAGAGCACACATGTTGGCTCATTTTCAACTTCATGGATTCAACCCTGCAAATTTCATATTGATTCTAATAATGCAGGATGGGGACTACAAGATGGAAAGTCTTTTGGGGAGAGGCTCATTTTTACATTTGCTTTTCAACACTTATCTAAATAGCTAAAAACCAAATAAGATACAGTCCCCGCCATGAAGAGTTTGCAGCCTTAAACATTAAGGCACAGCGATATGGGTGAAGAAGCTAAGGAGAAGTCAGTATTGATGAATGGTCTAGCAATTGTAAGACACTTGAGAGGCAAGACGCATCAATTCAAATATAATCTTGGGGAAGTATGAAAAAAAAAACCCACAACAAAACCCTTGCAGTTCTTCCCTCTTCTTCAGACAATAGTGGGCTCCTAAACCTGATTTCCATAAGAATGGAAATCTCTGGCGTTAAAATGCTGCTTGGTATGTGTGTCCCCTCTGCAAACCTTCTTCTCAATGAAAGGAGAGGGGAGGAATAAACAGTGGTTTCCAAAGGGGCTTGGACTGTCAAAGTGGCCCGTGACAAGCCAGTTGTTTCTGGAGGGAAAAAAAAAGAAAACAGGGGCTTAGAGTGAGCGCAGACATAGTGATACTCCAATCAGAATTAAGTAGGAGGGAAATCTAGAAATATTTCGATTCATTCAACTTACAGTGAACCTTGGCTTAAAGTAAAGATGTTGTGCGAGGGAAAGATCACTCCAATAGGAACTAAGCACGGCAATGAAGCCTTCATGATGAATGCTCTAGGAGCCAAAGTCTTCCCTCAATCACAGCCTATTGATTTCAACTCCCAGTGATTGCTTCTTGGATAAAATGTGGTACTTTAAGAGCACTGGATAGTACATAAAAAGCACTCTGTAAAAATGTGTGTGTATTTCTATATCTTAACGGGGTTAACGAAGGAGGGTCAATGTGTTTGTTCATTTCAATTTACCACACGGTACCCTTACCAACGCAGGCTCAGGACAGTTAACAATAAGAAATCAGAATTGCTTAAACAAAATGAAACAACTTCAAAGCAGCAAAATTATCATCTTACTTTGCACATACAAGTTCAGCTGTACAGAGCCCAGAGAATGGACACATGACATAACTAATACATTTTGGTAACCTTGAATAGATCTTGTTGTATGGGCTTTTAATTTTGGACAGACTGCATATGCGACAATTACAAATCTGGCTGGAAGACCATATTATGGATGGGAAACTGAGGCACAGAGGGCTTTTGAAGCACATTTTATTACTTTTTTTAAAGGGCTCTGGTTCATTCTTGGAAAAGTAAGGCTTTGCACTCAGTGTGTTGGAAATAAAGCAAATACTGTGCACAGTTACACTGTACCAAATAATTCATACATATAGGTAAGTGCTATTAAAACACAGTTATGGCATGCTGTGCCTAAAGTATCTCTAGCTGAGCTTTTAGAAAATCTGAAAGAAAAAGCACTTAATGTTTGATTTTAACCTAGTGTATGTGTGTTTTAGGTACTTTTAAACTGAACACAGCAAAGCCATTTGTTCCCAAATGCCATCAATCCATATATATTTATGTAACTATATAATTTGACCTGTCTGCTTTTTATGTTTCCAAGGGCTTATTATAGGAAACTTTCAAATTAAATGGGCTGAAACATTTGATGGTCTCCTACCTGTGTTTCAAAGCCTATGCTGAGCCCACACAATGTGACTGCAGTGGTAGAAACGGTCACATTTTGCTCCACGCCAGGATACGGTCTCGTGAAAGCAGGGGGACTAGAAGTCAGGTTTGATGAGTTCTATTCCTGGATTTTCAACCAGCTTATTGTGTAACCCTGGGGAATTTCTTTCATCCCAAGTGCCTCATTTTTTCCACCTGTAAACTGGTGTAATGCTTCCTACCCTCATGGGGTGTCATGAAGGTTAATTCACATTTAGGAAGGCATGTGCAATATGAAATGAAAAGGACACTAGTAAGTCTATAACAGTTCAAACAAATGTATGAATACCAATTCAGTGAGACTATTTCCCAGATAGAGTTCAGTAAACGGACTGTCTTAAAAGAGTATTTAAAAATATCCTCAAATACTCTTACACAATTTAAAATAATGATATATAATTACTAGGCAGCCATAGGCTGGTAGCTTGATCATATTTTAGATAGAAATCCTTTCACCCAGGGATGTTCAAACCCTGGCCTGCGGGCTACATCTGGCCCATGGAGCTGTGTCATTGAGCCTGCAGGACTCCCAATGGTTCCAACATTTGGTGGGGGGGGGAGCGGTAGCAGTGTTAATTGCTGTTCTACTGCTGCCAAATTTCAGTACCCATGGGGAGCCCCACAGAATAAATAATGTGGCCCTTCATTCTAGATTGAGTATGCAAGGCTGGGGCAGCATAAGGCCAGATCCAGGCATGCAGGGCTGGGCCTAGGTCAGAGTTGGGCAAAATGCGGCCCGGGGGTCGGATGCAGCCCGCCAGGCCATTCTATCTGCCCCGCGGGACCCCTAAAAATGTAGAACATTAATATTTATCTGCCCCTGGCTGCCTGTCATGTGACCCTCGATGGCTTGCCAAAACTCAGTAAGCGGCCCTCCACCTGAAATAATTGCCCACCCCCGGCCTAGATGGTGC